AAAGGTATGGTGACCTAATTTAATATTTTACTCTATTTTTCTCATAAGTTACTAAAATAACCTCTAAAAAACTAATGATAGAAAGATAAATTTATATTTGTAACATTCATACTTCAATATACACGTGTTTCCTAATAATCTTACAATTCAAAGTTTGAAAAAGAAATTCACGTAATGCTTGTTTCTTGCATGAACCAGAGATATGACGCGTGGACACGGACGTTCTGATTTTATTATTTTTCAATTCATTTTCTTATCCAGCGCCTGAAAAGTTTCTCGTTCATCTTCTCCTAGAAAAGGAATTCCGGCCTTCTACCATCCGAGATTCTCTAAAATTTCCAGTTTTGGGAAGGAATCAGAAAGTCCTGTCGAAAGTTTCTTTAAGATAGACGGTTAGGGTATTGTCTTTTGAACATGTCGATTTTTGTGGAGTTTCCTTTTATTTTTATGCTTCCTAGATTATGTATATATATATTTGTTTTTTTATATAATTGAATTGTCAGAGGAGATGATGCGAAGACATGTATCCAAGCTTTTTCGGCATTGTTTGGGATCGCGGCGTTCTAATTATTCGGTAACTTAATCCTGAAATCTCTTGATTTTGATGAACTTGGAATGACACTATTTGCTGTATTTGGTTGTGAGTTTGTCCGGTGAGTTAATAATAGCTTATTTTTCGCCTCAGAATTGTGTTTCCTAAGGACTAAAAACGGCTTAACAAAATGCATGAAGGTTCCCCTACTTGCGGGTTTGGGGTCGATGTATGCATTCTGATCTAAATTTACAGAGACGCAATTTTTCATTAATCGACAACATGACCTCCAAAAATGCGCATGCCGATTTCAGGATGCTTGGAAGGGTTACAGTCTTACCCTTGAATTATGGAGAGGGAGGTTGACATACCCGTCTTTATCTTTCCAAAGGGCTGTTTCATATTTTTCACAATTGCGATTCAAAAATAGTAAAAGGTATGCTTTACTTGAAAAAGGAAATAAGTTCTATTTTTCATAGGGGATGTTTGTTTACAAGTAGTATTTAGTAAACTTCAGAAATTCAGATTTATGGTCTATTTGGGATAGTTTAAGCTTATTAATAAGCTACTGGGCAATAACTGCCTCAGGAAACTACCGTGGAAAAACTGCTGTGAATGAGCTGACCGACCGTTTGTTTTCTGCGGTTTGAAAACAACTGTGACAACTTTTTCTGGACAAATTACCATCCTGCTCTAGTATAGTAATGCTGTTTGTAATATAACAGTATATTTGATACTTTAGAAGTAAAAATCCACTTTAGAACAGTACAAAAATTCAGATAAATACCTCACTTAATAGTGAGTATCAAGATTGCTAAAAAAAAGAAAAAACTACTAAAATTACATTCAATAATATGATAATATTAATATTAAAATGTAGACGGCGTATGTCACGAGCTACGCCGTCCTCCAGAAATGCTATCCATTCTCGATCACTGTCGGCAGTGGAATCTGCCAGACTTTCAGGACACCGAAAAAAGTCACACTTCTTCGTGATTATCTGCGGGCATTCGTAGAACTGCCTCCTATCACAACACAACCCACAACATTAGCACAGCCACAACCAATAACAAACCATAACATTGGCCAACACAACACCACCCACAGCATTAGTCAACACAACTCATGGCCATTACACTAGCCAACACAACAACAAACCACAGACACAACCCAAAATTGGCTATCATAACACAACCCACAACACTGACCAA